ACATGTACTGAGCATAGATCTCAAAGAAAGAAGCAGTAAATATAAGTTCCAGCAAAAACGTGTCAACTATTGGTTCGAACGGGATCAAAAGTACCGTGTGTAACACCAACATCAAACATAGCAATTCAGTAACTTACTTACCTGAGTCTTCTTCAAATTCGAAATTTCTTCTTGCAGTTTTTCATTTTGTTTCTTCAAAGCTTCCAATTTATTTATCAGCTGATTTTCGTTGTCATCAGAAGCACCGTAATTTGTATTCCCTCCTTCACCGCTACGAAGAGCATCGTTTTCTGCTTTTAGCTTTTCTATTTCGACTTTATAGTTTTCTAAGTCTTTCAGAATTACACGGTTTTCGCGTTTGCTTGGTGTACAACCCATGGCTGAGTCACTAAATGTGTGGCTTTGCAGTAACTTGTCTTGAACCAATAGGATCTGAACAAATATAACATTTCGTTTTAATTTCTCAAAAGACACAAAGAGCAGGACTGTTTTCGGATGGTGTCCCAGAAAAATCTAGGATTTTTTCGTTTTGGCTGCCATCTATCAAGTTTATGTATCTCTGGAAGTTATGGAGGACGCTCAAACGCCATATTTAAAAAACAAAAACAAAAAACTAGAAGAAATGCGTTGGACGAGCCATTAGATTGTTTGTTTGATATGCAGTTGCTCACCATGCTGCGTTGTATAAAGTTGCTTATCAAATGTTGCAGATGACGTCATAGCCGCCATCTTGGTTGATCAACTCTCAAGAGTGGCATCACACATTTCTTCGATCTCGAACAACTATTACTTGCCACCATCGTTGCAGAGATCTTCAAAATGATGACATTTCGTGCGCAACGTCGTAGAAGTATATAGATTTTATTAATTCTGCAACATTAGTAGCTAAGTTGCGTGTAAGCATTGCAAATGTACACATACGGGACACATGGTTAAATTGCGTTATTGCAACATTGCGCACTACAGTTAAAACACTATTTGTGCTAAACAACTCAACAATGTTTCGCGACAACTCGCACGATAATGAAAGATGTGATCTTACTAGCGCATACTTCCTAATCGATGTAAGTAATCACCCCTATATTATGAACACAAATATAAAGATTCGAGACCAGAACCAGAAGGAACGGAGCTCAGTATTGTTTGAATTTAATCATGGCGGTAGTACAAAATTTCGATTCTTGTCAGTGAACGTTTTTGCAAGTTTTCGCCAGTCAAAAGCAAGATCGTATCATCAGCGCATGATATAGTAAAATACTTCAGTAAACATAGCTATCATCGAAATGACTTTTGGTTTGAGACGGACTGAAAATGTGCTCCTTCGTTCTATCATCTAACTGGTGAAACGCCAGAGACTTTTGAAGGATAAGTATAGTGTACTCCCTTGGATTGTCCAACTAAGATATCTCATTTTACACAAACGAATGCAGTTCTGCTCTACAATCCATGGCGTATGCCGTGTATTTCACGGGTTTATGAAGATATGAAAACCACTCTAGGAGACGACGGACCAATAGATTTTTGAGGGGGAGGGGGGTGGGTAAAAACTAAAAACAAATTCGAGCACAGCTTTAAAGAGTGAGAAAAAATCGCGCATAAAAACAGTGCCAGAAAAATAAATTCCAAATTATACCCAAAAAATATCCTGCACAGCCGTGAGGCATAAAAGAAAATTTCTGCACAAAACAAATTGCCAAACCCCCCTCCCCCTCAAAGATCTAATGATCCGTCCCTAATGGTAGCTACTTAATAAAACAAATGATAAATTTTGCATTATTGACATAAAAAGATATAACTAGCTAAAAACTAGTGTGAGCTGCGTCGGTGTTTCTAATGAAACAGTAATGATGAAAAGGTAAATTATACACCGTGAAAAGATGAAAAAACTTACTGACGTTTCGGACGCTAGTCCTTCGTCGGAGTAAAAGACTCTTTTACTCCGACGAAGGACTATCTAGCGTCCGAAACGTCAGTAAGTTTTTTCATCTTTTCACGGTGTATAATTTACCTTTTCATCATTACTGTTTTATTATTGACATATTTAGTTCTGGTTTATTGAGTCGAAGTCAGTTGTGACGTAGCCTGCGTGCCTCCGAACGTTTACTCGTCTTAGCCTGCACTGCATCCGGAATTTTCTGTCGTACTTTACGAGTAAACGTTCGGAGGCACGCAGGCTAATCACAGAAAATTCCGGATGCAGTGCAGGCTAGTTGTGACGTTATTAACTTAAAAACTCTAAAAAAAATATAAATAAATGAAAATTTCCGTATTGATTTATGTTTTATCAAACTCCATGTAAAATAAACTTGTCCCCGGTTTTAGAGCAAAATAATCAAAACGTTTCTGGCTCCCACACACAAGTTTTGTTTTCGTTGATTCCGACGAAATATTCAGTTTTCTTTGGATTCTTTTGTTATTTCAAGTAACATAATAAGTCAAGTCGTTTATTAATTCATCCTAAATCTCTTGGGAACCATACGAACCACCATCATCAAAATGAAGCATTGTTGGTTTTTGTTTTGTTTTATGTTTTTCATGTGAAATTTATTCATCAAGAAAAGATAAAGTATAACGTGAACAAATCTCTTTTAAACGTAAATATTTTGTATAAAATTCGTTAATTAAAACGACTCTGGATAAGTATTTTTCAGGATTGAACTAAGCTCAAGAATATAAAACTCTTTAAATAGAAAATATCATCGGGAATAACTGTAGAATCTCTGACTTTGCGGTATTCTATTGTTGTGCCAAAGTAAATTATATTTATGTGTTCCTCTAGGCGCTGCTTTATATACTGTAGTCAATGATAACGAAATTGGAAGATCGAATTTGTGCGCACTTTCGAGGTAAAATAGAATGCATAATTTTCCCATCCAAATCTCGATTTTTTTTACATGGCTAATGTAACAATAAACTTGGAGCAACAGTGGGTTTCTGATGTGATCATGGCGCAGTGGTTTACTAGTAGTAAAAAATCGATTTCACCTCATGACAGAGCGGAGAGATTACGTTGGATTACAAATATATGAAATGAAAATACATACATAAGAAAAAAGAAAGGTTACCTTGGTTAACGTCAATCTTCAGTCAACTTTAATTTTTCCTATAGTCATACCTGGGTTGTTTTGAGGTTTTAAACTTTAGCCCAACTGGACCTTGAAGTGTACGTCTTGTCGCATCATTTATTCATTACACTACATTGTTGCTAAGCTATGGAAAACAAAAAGACTTCGGTTCAAATATACTAAAAATTTCAACGTAAAATGAGCAAAGATCATCCCCTCTGGCTTCTAAATCGTCTGGTTTCTTAATACATGAGAACGGTTAATCTCCGAGGTATTTGTTAACTGAAAAAGAAATGTTGGACTCCCTGTGTTGATCTCCCGAACTAAAGACGAACATTTCACGACATGTAATCGACTGATCCTTGTTATCATTTCCACTCTGATCGATCACGTCACTTTCAAATCATCGTATATACGTGAGCATGTGATTATTTATTTTGTAGAAATAGCTTTTATTTTTTTATCTATTTTATTTCCAAAATGGACGAACTAGTCACAGATTTGACCTTGGCTTTAGAACGTACTGACGATCCGCAATCGTCTAATTCTGACACAACTATAGGTACGAAAGATTCACCATCGTCGACACCGATTCGCAAACAGATCAAGAAAAGAAGAGGAAGGAAAAGACGGTCAGAGTTTCCTTTGTCGAAAGACTTAGCGATGTTGAGTGAGGAAAGCAATGATTCTGTTGAAGAAGCCTTGAAGGACTACATCGAAAACATAACTATGTATCAGAGTGATTCAGATAATGACGGTGTTTTGGAATCCTGCAAGCGACTATCCATGTATCATAGATTGTCTTCAAAGATGGACCCTTATCCTTTACCAGAAAGACAAGAGGGCGATCAGTTGAACAGTTCCGTCATTGGACTGTCTAAGAAAAGAAGCAAAAGGAACAAAAAGATGAAAAGAACTGCACAACAGTCAAGTTCAGGAACGTTACAACACAGTCAGGAATTTTCACTTAATGGTAAAACGACTAAAGGAACTCATAGTAGACGATCGTTGAAAAGAAAGCTTTCAAACAGAGTTTGTGGAAATGCATGTGGAGAAACATGGACAAGAAAATCTAAATATGAAGAGGGGATTCTTTATGAGAATGACAACGGAGGAAGAAGTAGTGATCTTATGTCTGCAGATATAATGCAATCCAGGCACCCTAGACATCTTAACTTTACTGCACTATCTGTTGAAGATACACCTGTTACTGCTACATGTACATGGGATCAGAATGGACCACAAGATGATGTGATGGCTGGCTCTGACAGCGATACTTCCAGTGGAAATGAAAGTGAAGGGTTTTTCACTAACGATGAAGGTCGCCTTGGTGATGACGAAGGAGAGGAGAGCACTTTTGAACAAGATCCTTGTGTTAATGTCATTCCTTGGTGGGAAAATGACAATCAGAGTATAGATGAGGATGAAAAGTTTCAACATATAGTTGAAGGAGTAATAAGTGAATATGGCATTCAAGCAGAGGCTTCGAAACAAGCAGGAGGTCTGTATAATTTTTAAAATATTTGAGATATAACGCTCCCTGATTGGCTGGATACCATGTTTATATCAGAGGACAGAGATACACCCACTCTAAATCGTTCAAAAACATCTTACAAGAGTAATATGACAGTTGCTTACATCTCTATACTGTGATATGAACACTTTGGCAGATGTAGAGCACTTGAAAAGCAAGAGAAACACTCCACTATACCTCATGTTCCTAAGCTTGCTTCTCTCATGCTCTACAGCTTCCAGTGTACAGAGACATGTGCATACATTTTATCTTCCTTAAAAACAGTTACCAAGCGTATTTATATTGCAGTACAGAGACATGCACCCACTTTTTATGACATTCCTTAAATATATATTTGAAGTTGACTGAAACATTTCTCGATCACAATAAATTAGCTTTCATTATCCTAGCTCCCCTACACAGTACATCCGACTGCTGTTGGTGTAATACTGCAGTGCTCTTGCATGGTAATAACCACTCTTTTCATTGCTATCAAGACTATGTACTCTAATGACTTGATTGATTAATAATTTAAGGTCCATTAGAGCCACTCTCTGTGTAATAGGTGATTGATTGACAGTAGCAATGAAAACAGTGTTAAGAAGTTGCTACACTTTACTAAACTGAACAAAAAGGGCATGGAAATGATGACACAAAGTATGAAAAATAGATTTATTCACCTGTCAATGCTAGTCTAGACTTGCCCAAGGTGGACCTCTCTTGTCTCCTGAGGAGTTTTTTGGTCAAGCAGAGGGTGGCAAACTTCAATTGTCTAATGCTACAATCTTGGTCAAAAATGTTGAGAAATTTTTGGTTTTGATGGTATTTTCATGAAAAACATGAGAAATTCCCCTTAAAATGACCCCCTCCCCCCCTAAACAATGTTGTTTTGAGGGATACAGGGCTGCTTTACCTACTGGGACCAACATCGTTCTGGGGGAGAGGGGGTACAGACAATATTTTTTTAATAAGYGAAATTCTACTATTTCATGATTGGATGAAAAATTCTCAACTCTTTTTGACCAAGATTGTAGTCCCAAGGGTTGTGCATGTAAATCGTCAGTATTATATTTTGTCCCACAGGAATTGGACATTTTCCTGGAAGCTGCAGTCAATGTCCCCCACCTCTGAAATCTTTTTTCTTTCTTCTCTTTCTCTGGAATCTAATGAATATTAAAATGGGACTAGAACGAATTTTAATTCAGCTGAAACTTTACTGGAATAACTCTTAAAGGTGTAATACTCACTGCTTAAAGATTTTTCCTGATTTTCGGATGGGAAGTATTGAACACTTGATGTAGTTCTGATCCCTATGATAAATTCCTCCATGGTTACATGTAGGCCCCATGTCATAGCATTAATATATCATAGTCCTCATTTATGATTTCAATAATTTTTAAATTGCTTTTATTATATTATTTTGTAGGCTTTCAAGCAAGATTGAATTCTTTAAAATCCATGTGTGAAACAGTATGTATATAGGAAAGTTAGATAAAATGCATATTTTCAGCATTTCTAGTATATATTATGCCACATGCACTGAATGTCTCCATGTAGAATCGTTGTAATTTGCCTTTTTTTTAATTTTTAAAATCCTCATTTAGACATTTAAGTAAATTAAATGAAATTGCTATTTGATCTTTTAGAATAATAAGTTCCTTGTGGAAGCAAAGAGAAAGATCAACAAGTTTCTTCATGATCCCTCAAAAATAGAGTAAGTTTGGATGCTGAATGAATTACAAAATGTCTGTTGCATCATTCATCCCTAAACATAGTGTGTGACATTTTGAAATTATTGTTCTTACCTACAGACTGTCAATTTCACTGAACAACAGGAATGAAAGAGAACAGGTGTGAAATCCACATGTACTTCATGTATAGAGTATGTTCTTCACAATATTATAAATTATTAGAAATAGTGTGGTGACATCGAACTTGGAAAAAATTTTGAAATGCAGATCATAATCTAACCCAAAACCTTCCATTATCTGCTGGGTGCTCTAACCACTGAGTGGTGAGCAAGGTCATTGTGTTAAGACAATAATTTAATAAACTGCGTCACTCATCATGCAGTCACTGTAATGCCATGAAGGCATATGTGTTCACATCAAAACATCAAGTTGTGATTTATCTGTGTTGTCAATGCTCCTAGATTCATCACCTGGCTTCTCTTTATGCACTGCACTGCCGAACTGAGAATTCTGCTCATCGTGGTCATGCCATTCTACTAAAAACAAGGTGACAGTCAGTAATATTATACTGTAATTGAGATGTCATACATCTGCTTTAGGACTTCCGGAATCAAGAGCTTTGGAATAACGTACGATTTGTAATTTTTAGGAACACATGTAAACCTGACAAAGATGCTGTGAACAGCTTTTTTGGCAAAGATGGAAAGTAAGTCTTTATTGTTTATTTTTTCGATATGTGAATTTTCTCATTTCCTACATGTTAACTTTTTGTCAGTTGCTTTCAGTCACTTAGTAAAGTATGATTTTTTGGTTCTTTCCAGAAGGAAAGGATTACAGATGTCAGAAGTCAAAAGAGCAAGAAGAATAGCAACTGAAGGTATAAATTAATAAAATGCTATCAATTTTTGATCAGCAGAAAAAATCTGTGTCTTTACAGGTAAATAAAGGTAACGTTTTTTTCTGAATCAAAATTGGGAGGAATTCCATATGCAAATAATGTCAGCAAAGAAGAAAATATAAAAGTTATGCGAAGGGTGGATAGTGCTATCCGATGGATAAATCTTATCCAGTGGATAAATTTATTGGATAACATCATCGACTTTATCCACCATTTGTACAACCGCACAGTCCTGGTTGGTGAGAGGCAAGAGTTGAGAGTTTAGTGATCTACCTAAGTACAAAGCTAAAGTGAAACAAGGTTTTTTCAAGGTTCTGTTAATCCTACAATTATGTTTATTTCAGGTCCTGTTGGTCAGTTTGCCAGCGCAATACCTGAAAGCAATATTGGTAACCAAATGCTCCGTAGCATGGGTTGGGTTCCTGGTACTGGTTTGGGTCCAGATAAGAGTGGTATTGTAAATCCTATAAATGCAACATTAAGACCAAGAAAACTTGGATTAGGTCATGCATGGCCTTCCTGACCAATACTTTGTAAATATTCTAAAAAAGTTTCAATCCTTTTAGAAAATTTTAAATTTCATTTTATCTGTATTATATTGATAGTGTTCCATGTAGGTAGTGAATGCAAATTATTTTAATGACAAATATGAATTAATCATAAATGACTATCCAAATCATGGAGTAAAAAATAAAAGTATATATATAACATGAACACATTATCTCATCATCTCATTCATCCAAAATTCTAGTTCTACATGTATACATACCTGGTCAACTCTGAAAGTTAATTTTCTTATGCTAGATTCATTAATAAGCCCTTTTATTTTAATAAATTAAGAGGTCTGTATATGACAGCTTGCACCTAGTTGAGGATCTGTGATAATTTGGCTTACAGATAGTCAGAATCTTGATGCCCAACTTCAAAAATTTGAAGATCCTTAGGTTACTACAGATGTAGCTATCACTGGGTGGTTGTGTTGTCATTAGCTTGCTTCTGTGCCACTAGCTGATGTGATCAGAGCAAGAATGTCTTCTGCAATACTTGAACGGTTGGCTCTTGTAACCTGGGTGACAATAAACCTAAGAGTTATCAGGTTAAGTAAAATTAACGGGGGAGGAGGGGATTAGGAACAAGTAAAATAGAAAAGAAATACCTCAATTAAAGTTACATCAGGCCTTCCCTTGAGTTGTTCAACAAGCTGAATAGGGTGTTGCCTAGCAACAGGAACTGTTGCTAAGATACATGTTTTAGGTGATTCAAATAGGTTCTGAACAGCTTGAGCAAATGGTTTGCTAAACAGCTCCATCTTTCCAATCTCATCAACAATAACAATGCAGGGTTTATCTGTCTTGAATGTTAAGAAAAAAAATCAATTTTGAAAAATGTAAATATTTATTGGACAAATAATTCGTTTTAGTATATAGCAAGCCAGTCAATATGCCAATGCTTGCTCAATGACCTGTTGGACATGATGGCTGGCCACACTGGACTGATTAACATATGACAAATTTTAGCGCAGGCCTAAGCCGCATTTGGCTAGACAAGTACCATTTAGGCTGGGTGTCATATTTTCTTGACAAATTTTTTTTAATAGCTAGACTTCACATTCAGTTTGGTCCATAAAATAAGACACCAAAAAACTTGACTAATTTTTCCCCATCTGAAGGTACTTGTGTTCAGCCAATGCAATAACTCATATGTACAAGACAGAATATGGTTTTCTTTCATCCACAAAGAAAAAATAAGAAAATTATATCTTAGGAAGTTTCCATACCTCCCTCTTTCTGGATCAGAATATTCAAAAGGTGGTTGCAAACCATGAGGGTGTATGATACCGTACGACTTACTTTGCTTGCAGATGTGTATACTTTTTGGATGTGCAATGATACTCCTAAAGTAATATGATCTATATAGATAACCTAAATGTCCAAACTAGTGGTGGCTCTTTCTACTTACAGAAGAAGGAACAATTGTTGGTAAAGCCAGTTGCTCAAATGATTTCAAGTCCACCAAATATTTCCCAACCATTGGCCCCTTTTGTTTGCGCCCTGGCCTGTTAATAAAACAGTACATTAATATACTACAAATAAAGCATGTCATGTTTTCACACCGGCTGATATAATGAAGTGGACCCCTTGTCAGTGAGGGAGTTYTCATAAGAAACAACATAAAAGCCCTATCATCATAAGGTGCACTTGGTCCATTCTTCAGTCTACACAAACATTGGAAGTGTTGTTGTGCACCATGCTTTCTCTTCTTATGGTTCTCACTCTTCCTCTATATACCCTTGGTATCGTAACTCTGGCAGGTGGCTAAAGAAAATTGCACATGCTGATTGGTTGAGGACTTCAGACTATTTCTCGATAATCGCCTACACATGGGTGAATATAGGATTGGGTGCTTACTGTTTGTTGATGCATGCCGCTTTCAAAATATGAAATAAATATTAGAAATAAGCTGATGCCTATTTTCTTTCAAATAATCACCTGTGTTATATTAAACAGGCTCAGTGATTATTGGTGAGTATATGATGTACATTTTAAGCTATGATGTGTCTGGCACCTCAGAGTCCCTTTAAATAAATTAGAGGCTAAAGCTAATTTTTCATACTTTTTAACCCTTGCAAGAGGGCCTCTTTCTCCATTCAAGGTAACAACATCGAATCCAAGTCTACCACTGTCTCTATCATTGCGCACTTCCTCTGTGTAGAAACCTTGTGCACTGATTGACTTTTTGTTTAAGAGCTCATAAATTTTCTTGCACAACGTAGTCTTTCCAACTCCTAAAACAAAGACATGAAAATATATGTGTATTGAATGGACCTTTTTAGCTCGGAAATGTTTCCCCATTTTCAGACCATTTGAAATATGCATTTTACTTTATATGGTATCTACGCTAAGATTGCCAAAAAATATCAAATGGAAATTCTTTAGTCTTTTGAAGAGAAGGGATTGTATGAACATCTTGTTTCTTTAGTAGGACTTTGCAAAAAGTACTCATTTTTTTGGTCCGCCAATTAATTTAGACTTCTTTAAATTGTCAGTAAATGCTTGATTTTTGGGTATTTCATACTAGTAACTATAACTAACCTGGAGAGCCAGTCAACAACACATGCCTCTTGGACGCCATTTTGTCATAAGGTATTTCATTGGGTTTCCTGTGTTATCAGTTTTTCACTTCCGCCAGTTCCAGTCTTCCTGGTCCTCGCGCTTCCCATGATGCACATCGATCTTGTTCCTTCGCACGTGTGTAAACAAGATGGTGAGAAGTAAAGCGCTGATATTATGGCAATTTTAACCCGGTAAGTCGGCTTTAAATGCTTCTTTATTTTTTCTGTATGACACCTAAACCTTTTCTTTGTATATAAGTCTGCATTATGAAGTGTTTTCGTCGGTTTGGGTGGAATAAAGATAAAGGAGCATTTTGAATTTGGTTTTCACACCCCTTTAGCTCTCGTACATAATCCCATAATGGCTTACCATAAACCACGAAACGAAACGAAACAATAAAATGCGAAACGAGGATTTCGCATTTTACAGATTTTTAAAATGCGAAACCGTCATTTCGCATTTTACAGATGTGTAAAATGCGAAACGTCAGACTGTAACCTGAGGCCTTGCGATCCCATGTTTAACTGTAAGCTTACTCACGAAATTGGATGAAAACTGTGTAGCTCCATGTCTTAGAAAATTAGAGATTACTTTGAATCTCAGTGGGAAGAACAGTGTAAACTTTCCATGTACCAAAAGCCACAAATTTATAAACTATGTTGAAATACTTCAATTCCTGTTGTTGTGGTGCCATTTTGAATGCACAGGGACCCCAATCAGCTCAAAAAGCTCATTTTGGTCAAACATCAAGCTTAATTTGGTCATGTATTTCTGATTTTCTACTTTAAACTTGCAATTATTTGCATTCAAATGTTTCATATCTGGAATAAAAAATTTCAAGTGCTATTAAATTTGGCCATAATTAAAGCTGTTTTGCACCTGCAGAGGACATTGGTTGGAACATTTCTATGGCGTTTTCCTTTAAAATACTGTAATACCAAGTCAAGGTTGTCATAACTGCAAATGATCAAGAAAAAGCATTTAAAATTAAAGGGATCGTGCACTATGGTGCACATCATTTGGCTAAAATCTTTTTTTTGGTATCTCTTGCATGTTTTTAGTGGTTGCATTTTGGTGTCTTAAAGTGGTGAAATTTTAATCTTATGACTATGAGGGAACACACCATGTCAAGCCTGTGGATTATTGGCATCACTAAGTGACTGAAGTTGTTCCAAATATTGATCACCATCAGAATTGTTTATGGTATATCAATGCACAGCTTTTCTACCTGATGTACCCTTCAGTTTTACAATTTCATTATTATCATCGGCAGTCTGAATTCTGTTTTGAATCTGTCATATTCCTTGAGTAATCCTTAGGGATTGGTGTGTTCTTCCCATAGTCCAACATAAGTGTTGCTTGAGTAAAAGTGCAACAAGAGTTGACATATGGTATTTATCTAAGGCAATTGGCATCTGTTGGGCACCTGTCAGAAAAATACTTGTGATTCTTTTGAAACGCATCACTCAGTCATTTCGAATTGAACTCTTAATGTTATTATTGATATGATTGGATCAAAAATCAGCATGTAAGTTAAGAGAGATTTAGAACATGGAGCGTAGTGGTAATGAGTGAATTAAGTGGGCCAAATTGAAAATCAGTATTCATACATATACTGAAATTGCTCACCCGTTCTAAAAGTGGAATGTATGTACGACACTTGGGTGTACACCTACCCACTTATACTTAAAAATAATAGTCACAGATTAAACTTGGACTCAGATATACCATATGTCACTCTTGCTGTATCCTAGAATAGAGTTTGTATGATAATGATAAACCATGGGGCAGACGTTCATGAAAAATTTGTTAGAATTGATTTGAACAAATATATTGATTAACTAAAAACTGCTAAATATTTTTCATTGTGTCATGGTTTATCACATTCATACAATATCTGTTCTACTGTGTATGACTAGTACAGTAGAAAACCATGCAGTTGAGACATTGAACTTTTGAATTTAAAAACAAATCACTAGAAAAAACCTTGTTATCAATCCAAGACATTAAGTTATTTATCAAGGTCAATTTATTAATTTGATACCAAACCTGAAAAGTTCAATATGTTAACCTTTTCTAACTGATGCTGTATAATAAGGTTTAGAGCTGTTGTTGTCTTCATATTTTGGCCATACCCAGAATGGGTTTCACTTATTTTTTGAAAGACAACACCAATAAGTTTGCCTTGTTTCAGTATCCTGTACTAGTCTTTTACTCCAGCAACACCTATGTCTTTAGAATAGCAATGAAATTTACAGTCCCTGAGGTCATTAGTTCATTCTATTCCAGACCCTTAAGGGTGCCCCTCAACACTTTGTTGGGGGGCACTTTTTCTTAAGGGGAGGGTAGGTTTGAACTTTTGCTCTCAGGGACCTTCATTTAATTACCCTAGGGCCAAAAAAAAGTGAAAAAAGACTTAGTATATATTTTTCAAAATTTTTTACTTTTTTTCACAATTTTTAATTTTTTTACTGCCAATTTGAATTTTTTATATTTTCTTATTGGCAATTGCATTTTTTTTCTTAAAGCCAATTTCTCTGTTTCTTTGCCAATCTGAGAGTCCTTCTTCCTTACGTTGTCCATGATTGCTTGAATTGGCTTGATCCTTGCTTGTAGTTGGCTGTCTTCTTGCTTGTCCAATTTTTCATCTAAGAACCTAGACTTACCTGGGCCTTGAACCTGTACCTTCACCTTACCTCTTGCCCTGTAGCCGGTGCACTTGTACTGTAGACTGTTGATGTGTTTGTTGAAGGTAAAGGTTTGAAAGTTTGTTAAAACATAACGCTTGTAATGCGTGGCATATTAAAATTCTTATAAATAATTAATGTCTTGTTTATTGTCTTTATGAAACAATGGGATAATGAGCAGGACAAAGGAAGGGGATTAGAAGACCGGGTGAAGGTGATACGCACGAGAGTGATCTTCATAAATGCTAAAGAATGTGCAAGAGCTCTAGGCGTGGCTAAAAGTGCAGGGGCAAGTGGGCGTAAAATTTCTATGTTTTTTGGCGGGAAAATTCGCGTCGTTTTAAAGGAGCACGCTTAACGAGATTACAAATAGCGGGATAAATTTTGAAAAGGGAATTGACAAGATAAAACAGGCAAAAGCAGTCAGAAAATATTTAATTTAAATTAATAACCAGCCACGCCCCAATTCTATTGTTTTATGTAGGTTTTGAAACCCAGAGTAAGACCTACATTCTTAAAGCTGGAGGTGGCTTTGATTATCAGCAGGGGAGAGCTGGGCTGAATTCAAAACCCGAGCCAGGTTTTGAATTTGAAATTCAAGACCTGTCCCATTAAAACAATAGAATTGGGGCGTGGCTGGTTATTAAACCAGTTCAAAACTACGGGCTCGGACTTTCATTGAAATTCAAGACCGAGGGCTGTGCCCTCGGTCTTGAAAGCCCTCGCCCTATGTTTTGAACCTTTATATAAAACCAAGTACAAACTAAATGCATCTAATTGTAAGCCAAAATAAAAATAAAAGGTCAAAAACGGTTGATTAACCTTGTCCAGTTTAATTCCTTGTTTTTTTATAATACTATTTTCGCTCTTCTGTCATTTCTTGACTATAAGGAACTGTCTTGACTTTGACTTTCATTCCTCCATCTGTAAAAGGAATGATAGCTTCAACAAGGTATAACCGCAAATAAAATTACGCGCGGGAAAAATACACGGAAAGATATTTTTTTCATTCGCATGCAGTGCGCAAATAAATATAGTTTTTTATTTCCTCAACTGGAAGCTTAAACTATCAAAACTTGAGGTAGGCAGAGCGTTGTCTTGTTTCAATCCATTACTAGTAATAGGTGAGAGAATACTTTGCGCACTCTTGTTAATTATGCACATATTCTAAAAAAATCTTTAAAATTATATTCCAAAGTAAACCTATATTAATTCACAGTAAGGTAAAATCTAGAAGACAAAAATAGCTGGGATTATTGAAACAGAAATTTGCGTGATTGTGAAGCAGAACAGTAGGACAGAGATGGATGTATGGAAAATAAATTGGGCATTGAGTGATAAAATATAGGCACAGCCGAGTTATGAAAAACGACAGCATTTCACTTGATTTTGTTAGTTTTATGGTGCTTGCCTATACTCAGTTAAGTCTATAATCCAAGTTACCTTTGTTCCAGATATTAATGGTCCTTAATAATACGGCCTATTTCTTGTACTTATTCTGGGTTCTTTTTCTTGTTCTCGATTCGCCGAATCTACAACATGGCGGACTCAACCAGTTCCAACACACCGAGTCCCTAGAGGAAAGGAATCCGTGAGAACAAAACAAGAAAAACAATGAATATTATTCTCAACTGGGATTTAGAATTTATAAAAGTCTTTTTGAAAAGCGGCGTTATGGGTTACCTTTGTTAGTTCGCACACTCACAGCAATACACAGGAAGCCCAAATTGCGTAAAGTTTATACCTGTTATCCTCTACATTACTCAAGGACTTCAATATTTTCCTTGTGCCCACACATGACACATCAGTTGTCCTATCATATGACTCAGTTTCATTGCAAAAAAGGTAAAAAAAGCATCCAAAATAAGGAAAATGCTAAAAGCGATATACCGCTGACCAAACCTTATTTTCCACCAAAATTGCGACCCCTATAAAATCTTCAATAAAATTCTAATCAAAAATATATCTTCAGAAGCATGTTAAGGCGGTCCATACCTTTCCAATGAAGTGTTTTTTGTTTTGAAAATCTCAATATTTCGATTTAAGAAAATTTGGACCTACCGAAAAAACGCTCATTTTGAGTTTCCAACTTCAAGCGGCTTGTTTTCTACAAAATAAGGCAAAAACTCCAATTATTTTTAGACGCAAATTTAAAGCTCACTTCGTACTTTCTGAAAAGCTTAAAACATTTTGAATGAAAGCTTTATTTCCTCTTTTATTGAGCGTTTTTTAATTGGGTAAGGCGTTTGGGCTACCTGTGGTGAAGTTTTAACAAAGGCAGCAATATATAATAACGATTTTGAAAGTGAAATTGTGCAAGTATTGCACATATTACGTCGTATTTACGATATGTAAGTGATGTTCTTTCAGATACATCTCTTTTTTTCAAGAAATATTAATTTTGAATTTAACAGGAATTTTTGCGTCTTACCACAGGTATCCCGAGTGTTCACAATTATAAGGTTAACAATACCAATGCCTTATTTATTTCAAGTTTTTGAATTTAAACGACTTTCTAGGTAGATGTAATACTCTTGCACATATTACATAGATTTTTAGGGGATTTATAAAAACCGTCTGTATTTTAGCGTGTTGCATTATGTGCGCACTAAAAACATCGTGCGCAAACCATTTACAAAATTACTGACTCMCATGTATTTGCTTTTTTACTTTCAAAAAGGGAATAATTTGAAGTAAAACTTAAATAATAAAAATACCTGCTCAATAGCTAACATGCTTCTTGCTTTAATCTTCAAGTATGAAGCCTGAAAACATAGAAAATCAAGTCAATAAGAAAACGTTTTCCCCCCTAAAAGACAAGTAAGAGAGAGTGCAAAAATACCTATATTAAAAGTATTTCAATTATTCTGTATGAATATGTAAGAACATCGTACATTTGGATCAGTTTTGCCAGGAAAATGAACATTAAACACTGCTACCTTAATTTACACTTCACCACAGGAAGCCCAAATGCCTCAACTCGTTAAAAAGCGCTTAATTAGAAAATGAAAATAAGCTTTGATTTAAAATATTATATATTTTTTAGGAAATACCAATGGAGCTTTAAATCTGTGTATAAAAATATTTTGGGTTTTTGCTTTATTTCATAGAAAACAAGCCGCTTGAATTTGGAACCCCTAAATAAGCGTTTTTTGAGTTGGCCAAAATTTTCGTAAATAGAAATATTTAGCTTTTCAAAATATAACACATCTTTTTGAAAAGCTATGAAACGCGTCAACATGGTTCCGAAGTTATTTTCTTGATTACAATTACATTACGAATTTTATAAGGGTGTAAAATTTTGAGGAAAATGGGGTTTGGTCAGCGGTATAGCGTTTTTAGCATTTTCCTCATTTTGGATGCTTTTTAAAATTCGCTTCCAATGAAACTGAACTATTTGATAGATCTATGTAGGCACCATATGTAGGCCTTTAGGAAATTATAAAAACGTTTGGTAATGTAGGGGGAAAACAATTTAAAATATGACCTTCTTTGGGCTTCCTGTACATATTGTCAGGATGATAGAATACCACAGGAAGCCCGCAATTATGCAAAGTATTGAATGAGTCCCGAATGTTTTTTGAGCGAAATCATATTATTGCTAGAATTAACCATGCTACAGATAATTGATTTCAGACAAATATTTTCTGAAGAAACTCCTTTCATTGCTGCAAAGAGAATTGATCGAACTGATTATAAACACCATTCACCATACACTTCGTAATCATTTTTTAAAAGCCGGTAACAGGTCCTAACGTTGCTCTAAACTCTGTCAAAATGTTCACACATACGACTGATCATCTACCTTACCTTTCATCCTTCGTTGCAGAAGCTACACAGCTTGTTTTTTGTATTTTCTTGGCTGTTTTTAGCACTGATTTAATCTTGACTCGATTTTCAAACTAGTTTGACTAACAAATGACRCACTCCCTCCTACACAAACACGCGCCCCTTGGGACCCCAATATTTTCGAGTTAAAACTCAATGTACAAATGATTTAGATAATGAAAAAAAAAACGCTCATTGTTGATCCTTTAAAGCTGAATTCCTGATTCACACAACTTCATTGATTTTAGGCATGAAACAAGCCTTTCAACGTGTGTCTTTAATATTTACATTTTTTGAATATTTTAACTTTAAAACAAGACTTTTAAAACGAATAAAAACATACCTGCTAAACAATCCAATTTTGGTTTTCTCGGACAAGGATACGGTGGCCGTGGGGCGAGGACAAGGAGGGTAGCCGAATCGGAGGATATTAGATAGCAGAACCGGAAGCAATTAAGAATCAAATCAATGTACAATCATGATATTGTGAAATAGTTAATACAAACAAACAATACTAGCACAAGTTATATATTTGTTATTATATAAATTCATAAATCATCATCATCATCATCAACACAGATGTACAATCATCACGTGCATGTACAACATAGATGTACAATCATCACGTACATGTACACTGAACACAGATGTACAATCATCACGT